AGACACATGAAAAAATGCTCAACATTACTCATCATCAGAGAAATACAAATTAAAACCACAATGAGATACCACCTCACAAAAGTCAGAATGGCTAAAATTAACAACTTAGGCAACAACAGATGCTGGTGAGGATGCGGAGGATCTCTTTTGCACTGCTGGGGGGAATGCAAACTCATGCAGCCACTCTGGAAAGCAGTATGGAGGTTCCTCAAAAAACTAAAAACAGAACGACCCTACGACCCAGCAATTGCACTACTAGGCATTTATCCCAGGGATACAGGTATGCTGTTTTGAAAGGATACATGCATCCCAATGTTTATAGCAGGGCTACTGACAATAGCCAAAGTATAGAAAGAACCCAAATGTCCACTGATGGATGAATGGATAAAGATGTGGTGTATATATACAATGAAATCTTCCCATTTGTAACTACGTGGATGGTACTGGAAGGTATTATGCTAAGCAAAATTAGTCAGAAAAAGACAACTATCATATGACTTCATTCATATGAGAAATTTAAAACACAAAACAGATGAACATAAGGGAAGGGAAGCAAAAATAATATAAAAACAGGGAGGGAGACAAAACATAAGAGACTCTTAAATACAGAGAACAGAGGGTTGCTGGAGGGGCTGTAGGAGAGGGAATGGGTTAAATGGGTAAGGAGCATTAAGAAGGATACTTATTGGGAAGAGCACTGGTGTTATACATAGAGGATGAATCACTGGAATCTACTCCTGAAACCATTGTTGCACTATATGCTAACTTGGATGTAAATTTAAAAATTAATTAGCTAACTAAAGTCAGAACCAGTATATTTGTAAGTTATACTCAGGAGTCTTAGTTTTGAAAGTTAAAAATTTTTATTCTTTACAATCTTTTGGTTTTTGAATGGATATCTTAAAATACCAGGAAGGAAAAAAAATTGTTTTCTAAATATAACTGTTATGACTTCACATTAAAATAAAACCCACAATGTCAAGTGCTTGGGTGAACAAACATTATTACATTATGGTAGATGAAAAAAGAAACACATTGCCTTGTGGTATCCATTCTTGATGATCTGCACTAATAATATGGAAACGGATTGTAAATAATCCAAAATAAAGGATAATTTAAAATTCCAAAAAAAAATTTTAATTAGCTAATTAATTTTCAGAAATTTTTAAAAATTTAAAAAATAATAAGGAAAAGTTCTTCTTTTAGAAGAGTGTCAACAAATAAATGTAGATGAAATAATGGAATTTAAAAAATCACCAATTTACAACCCTCAATGATATAACTGATTCAGGTACATATAATCAATAGATGCTAAACTTATTAAGTGAAGACATGAGAAGAACATAGATATTTCCATGCTACCAACTATCTCCCCACAAAGTCCTTGCCTATCTCAAGTATATAATATTAACTTTACTATGGAGGAATTAGACATCACCAACTTAATCCAGGAATTAATCTTAACTGCTAGTCACAAATAGTGGCAACAACTAGACAACAAGTGCCACTTGATACGATACAATGTAGATTACAACTGAACCATTGGACATTCTCTAGGAAATACTGGAGACAGAAATAAATTAAATGATACCATAAGAAGCAATAAGAAAATTCAGGAAGAACCTTAAAAAGGACAACTGGACCTGTTTAATAAAGTCATAAAGTCATGGGAAAGAAATTCATTTGGAAAGAGACACTGTTCTAGATTAAAAGATATGTAAGAGAGGGACAAAACAAATGGGATATGTATTATTTGATTGGATCCATGTTTGACAAGCCAGCATTACAACACATATGAGAATAAACTGGAGATTTTAAATATGGAATGATTATTAGGAATATTAAATTCTAAAGAATTTTGTTAGAAATGTCTGTATTTTTTAAAAATTCATGAGGAATTATTTCAAAGTGAAAGCTATGTATGTCTTTACTTGTAAATACTTCAAAAATTATAAAAATGAGATGAAGCAAAGACTAAAAAATGTTTGTTAACTGCTAAATCTTGGTAGAAAATGGCTATTACAGTAATCCCTCTACTTTTCTCTATGTTTGAAATATCTCACAGTAAAAAGTAAGTTACAGATGGATATATAAATAGATAATAAAATACATATTATATATATGTTGTCATAAAAAGAAGAGTCACATTGGGGCGCCTGGGTGGCTCAGTCAGTTAAGCTTCAGACTTCAGCTCAGGTTGTGATCTCACAGTTCGTGGGTTCGAGCCCCGCATTGGGCTCTGACAGCTAGCTCAGAGCCTGGAGCCTGATTCAGATTCTGTGTCTCCCTCTCTCTCTGACCCTCCCCTGCTCACGCTGTCTCTCTCTCAGAAATAAATAAACATTAAAAAAAAAAAAAAGTAGAGTCACATAGAGATTAGGGGCAAATAATTGCAAAGTTAAACGGTTCTCATGTTTAAAATAGTAACATTCACAAAATGTTTGCAGTACTAGAGTTTACATTAATCTTGTATGGATTGTCAAGAATTCTGTTTATTCTCATCTACGCTTTGATAGCTCACTATTAAATATACGATGCAGTAATTTAATTGTGGAAAAGAAAGGAAGATTTTTCTTGGGCTTTTCTGCATTTTCAATTACAACAGTGTAGCAAATGACACAGTTTAGTAATAGAGTACTGGCTTGAGACTCATGAGACATGATTCTATTCAAAGCTGATCAATAATAGAGTACTGGATGATCCCAAACAAGTGAATTTATAGTTGTAAAAACAGAAGGGGAGGGGCACATGGGTGGCTCAGACAGTTAAGCGTCTGACTCCTAATTACAGATCAGGTCATGATCTCCCAGTTCATGAGGCTGTCAGCACAGAGTCTGCTTGGGATTCTCTCTCTCCTGTCCCTCTCTCTCAATATAAACAAATAAATATTAAAAAATAAAAAAGCAGAAGGGGAACACAATCCCTATATAAATCAAGAGAATATCACATGGGAGCAAAGGTTATAACACTGTATTTTTTAAAAGTCATCATTGGGGCGCCTGGGTGGCTCAGTCAGTTAAGCATCCAACTTTGGCTCAGGTCATGATCTCACGGTTCGTGGGTTCGAGCCCCACGTCAGGCTCTGTGTTGACAGCTAGCTTAGAGCTTGGAGACTGTTTTGGATTCTGTGTCTCCCTCTCTCTCTGACCCTGCCCTGCTCATGCTGTCTCTCCCTCTCAGAAATAAATAAAAACATTTTTAAAATTTTAAATAGATAAATAAATACATACATACATACACACACACATACATACATACATACATGATAAAAAAGTCATCATACTGGGGCACCTGCATGGCTCAGTTGGTTGAGCATCTGACTTCAGTTCAGGTCATGATCTCACAGTTCATGAGTTCAAGCCCCACATCAGGCTCTGTGCTGACAGCTCAGAGCCTAGAGCCTTCTTCAGATTCTGTATCTCCCCCTCTCTCTCTGCCACTCCCCTGCTCATACTCTGTCTGTCTCAAAAATGAATGTTAAAAAAAATTTTTTTTTACATCATCATACTAACTCAAGATACCAAGTTACAATTTTAAATAATGAGAGCTTTATTAAATACACCCATCACTGGGGATACCCTGTTTTTACTTTTTTTTTTTTCCTTTCCAACTGATCTGAGATCTGCTATGTTCATCTACTAAGTCTAACCTTGGCTCAGGTCATGATCTCATGATCTCATGGTCCATGGGTTTGAGCCCCCGCACCAGGCTCTATGCTGACAGCATGCAAGCCTGCTTCAGATCCTGTGTACCCCCTCTCTTTGACCTTCCCCTGTTCATGCTCTGTCTCACTCTCTCAAAAATAAATGTTAAAAAAATTTTTTTAAAAAGATAGCTTATGAGTTATGACTTCAAAATTTACAAATCAGGGGCGCCTGGGTGGCTTAGTTGGTTAAGCGTCCGACTTTCGCTTAGGTCATGATCTTGCGGTTCGTGGGTTCGAGCCCCGCGTCGGGCTCTGTGCTGACTGCCAGCTCAGAGCCTGGAGCCTGTTTCAGTCTGTGACTCCCTCTCTCTCTGACCCTCCCCTGCTCATGCTGTCTCTCTCTCTCTCTCTCCTAGAAATAAATAAAAACATTAAAAAAAAAAAAATTTACAAATCAGTATGATCTGTACAAAACTGGCCAGAGCCATGTTTAGATATAACTCCATTCATGCAAGAGTAGAAAATTGGGTCTATCGGGGCGCCTGGATGGCTCAGTTGGTTAAGCATCTAACTTCAGCTCAGGTCATGATCTTGCGGTTTGTGGGTTCAAGCTCCACATCGGGCTCTGTGCTGACAGCTCAGAGCCTGGAGCCTGTTTCGGATTCTGTGTCTCCTTCTCTCTCTACCCCTCTCCCACTCATGCTCTATTTCTCTCTGTCTCAATAATAAATTAAAAAAAAAAAACCATAAATTTAAAAAAAAGAAAGAAAACTGGGTCTATGTTAATTTCATCTAATTCACATTATCTTGAATATCTTAATATATAGTCAATAATAGCTCATTTCCATCATATATTATACAAGTTAACCAACAGTTTCACCAATAAAAATCTATTTTTGATATCAAATATGCTAAAAGATCACATGTGGTCAAAACCAGAAATAAGAGGGTGGCGGTGGTAGCAATATGTAAAGCCCTTTCTTATATAATGCTAGCTGGCCATACCTACACAATGTAGCACTGACTAGCACCTGGTTATTGGCTTAATACGTCATACACATATACATAACATTTCGTGGTATTTACTGGAGTATTAAAATAAACTAGGCAAGGTAATAATCTCTAAATACAAATATTTTTTACAAAACAACAAAAGACTAAAAATGTCTTTAAAATCTGGGTTAATGAAACTAAAGCAAAGAAATTCAAGGTAAATTTTTCTTTCATTTGAATAATGAAGGTAACATATGGTCATATAAACAGTGTATTTTCATACAAAGCATTATAGATGGAATTCAGGTGATAACAGTACTCCGTCTTCAAATATGAAGGTATTAGGTTGTGCAATACATACCATTCACAAGGCTGAAGGGATCGAAATGCCTTAAAAGAGGCATCCATTCCAGCAAAATCCCAAAACTTAACATCATAGTCATATCCTCCAGTCACCAAACGGGCACCTGAGGGATCCAGCCCCAAAGCAGAAACCTGGCAAAAAAAAAAAAAAAAAATTTAACTTGAGAAAAGCTAATTATATTCTGTAATAACTTCCATTTCCTTTCTCTAACTCTACCTCCTATCTTATAGGCATTGGAAGTACAGACCTCAGCTGTTGTTACTTCAAAAAGTGAGACTGGACAGCATCTTCTAGATTACTTGACTGTATTATTATGAATATTACTTCTTTTGAAATAAAGACAATAGTATTTTAATTTAATGTAATTGCCAGCTTTGTCCCAATTTATCTACCAAAACCCATAAATAATTCAGCTTTTTCGATAAAAAAGATTTTGAGGAAATCTTTTGAGATATTTTAACTACAATTTTAATTACCAAAATGAGAAAATGCCAATGGGAATGTTAAGAAATCTATTTATGGGTGTGGGGGGGAGAGGGGAGAGATGGGCATGGAGGAGGACACTTGTGGGGATGAGCACCGGGTGTTATATGGAAACCAACTTGACAATAAACTATTTGTAAAAAAATAAAAATAAAAATATGCATGGTATCATCTCAAAAAAAAATCACATTTTGCACTTTAGATTTATACAATGTTATATGTCAATTATACCTCAATAAAGCTGAAAATTTAAAAAAAAGAAATCCATTTAATCAAGTAGGACAAAGTAGAAATTATTTTCTTGTGTGTACAGCTAAATGACTCAGTCTAATTACCTTAAATAATCACTTTTTTTTTTTTACAAATAGTTTATTGTCAAATTAGTTTCCACATAACACTCAGTGCTCATCCCCACAAGTGCCCTCCTCCATGCCCATCCCCCCCTCCCCCCCACATCCATCAGTCCTCAGTTTTTGTCAGCATTCAAGAGTCTCTCATGGTTTGCCTCTCTCCCTTTCCCCCACCATTTCCCCCCTTCTTCTCCCCCTTGTTCCTCCGTCAAGTTCCTCCTAATCCTCCTATACGTGCAAACATATGATATTTGTCCTTCTCTGCCTGACTTATTTCGCTCAGCATAACACCCTCAAGGTCCATCCATGTTGCTACACATGGCCAGATTTCATTGTTCCTCATTGCCATGTAGTATTCCATGGTATAGATAAACCACATCTTCTTGATCCATCAAAATAATTACTTTTAAAGCTGAATTTATAAGTGGCTAACTACATTATAATAGCACTTTTATATTGGTTCTATAAAATATCTGGCTTCCCTATGGACTTTCCTAGGTCCAATGCACATGTGAGTGCCCAACTGGTAACCTACAATTCTTAAGCAGGAAGTCCCTGGATCTACTGCCCTCTCTATTTCTATTAATTAGAATAATTAATGTGTAAAACAAAACAAAAGGAAAATGAATATATGGAATGAAAACAAAAAAAAGAAATAATTGATGTGATTACCACATATATAAGACAGTAAAAGGATCAAAGTTTCATATAAAGGAAACAACTATGAATCAGTTCCCTCAATAAATAGCCTTGGAATGTTATTAAAGGTAATAAAATTCCTGCAATTAAAACCATAAAGTTACAAAATAATTTATATTCACTTTAATCACTACCTGTAAACACTAATTTCAGAAGATAAGGGAATTATACATAAATATAATTAATAAATTATGTTTAAATTAGATATGTACTACCTTAAATGTGTTGAAGAAAGCACATAAATGAGAACTAAGTCATTTTTCATGTCTTAACAATTATATATCTTAAAACCTAAAACAATAAAAAAGTAAAAATAAACAGTAGCTTCCGAAGTCTAAGAAGTGACTCCTGTTACTATCAACCACAAACTTACTTGTCCCCATGTCCCTCTATCCTTTCACCCTCTCATTACAATTGAAGGGGTGTCCTCTCCCTGATACTACTAACCACACCAGCGTTCATCCCATTACAGCACAGTTTGAAATTGCAAATTCATTTGTGGCTTGTGTCTTCCCTGCCTGTCCTCCCCACGGGGGGTGTAAGCTCCACCTCCTTGCTACAGTAGGCAGGGGCCTGCAGTCAGGGTGGAGAACTGATGGCTAGCTACAGGAATCCTCTGTTGAGTCCCCCTGGGGAAGGGGAGGCTGTGGGGAGCCAGCAGCCTCCAAATTCCAGGGAGTCATTTGGAGTTCGGTGCAAGCTGGTAAGAATGTGCTCAAAGGGAAACCTGAAAACACACCTAAAAAGTGTTCTCTTTGCCCTGGCTGTGAATTCTTCCATTAAGAAAGATAAACTAATAGTATGTCACTATGTTAATGAAAGGAGAGGTAGATGTGACTCATGACTTTGAACCAAATTACATGTGGCCTTTAAAAAAGTTGGAACTGGATTCCTGAGGTAAAATTTCCTCCACTGAACCAGTTCTTCTGGGATCTACATTGTTTAAAGGAACACAGCTAAGAAGTGATTTGGGGGGGCACCTGGTGGTTGCAGTCAGTAAAGCATCCAACTTCGGCTCAGGTCATGATCTCATGATTCATAGGTTTGAGCCCTGCATCGGGCTCTGCGCTGACAGCTCAGAGCCTAGATCCTGTCTTTGGATTCTGTATATCTCTCTCTCTGACCCTCCCCTGCTCACATTGTCTCTCCTCTCTCTCTCTCTCAAAAATAAATAAAATTTTTTTTTAAATTTTTTTAAAAATGATTTGAGACATCTGGTAGGAAACCATCTCTAGGTCCTGTTAAGGAATGGAAAGGTGGGTAGACTGGTAGGAGATACTAGAAATGTAAAGTATAAGAAACAAAGACTGATCTTATGCAGAGAATTGGTGAGGGTCAGAGGTAAATTATGGTGAATCCTTTTAGTACCTTCTGTTCTTCTGTGAATGTGTAAATATTTTACAATAACTAGTTGTAAAAAACGAACCAGGCAAAAGAGTCACCTTGCTAATCTCTAACATAATTAAGATGAAATAAATGCAGGGTAAAGGCAGGACTGCAAGAAGATTAGGTACCATAACAGTACAATTAGAAGCTCTAATTGCTTTTTAATGTGTAAAACGAGTTCGCAGTATATTTCTAATTTTATTTCTTTTTTAAAAGATAAAATTCTACTAAAAAATACAAATACTAAAATAAAATGTGTGACACCCATGAACTCTCTCAGCTGTAAAATATCTCTTAAGTGATAGGGAAGCTTCTGTTTAAGTACTAACAGTCTATAATTCCTTTTCTAATTTACTTAAAAACATGAAAATTAGTAAAATTCCATCATAATTTCAGAATAAAAATGCCAGAAGTCTGATTTCATAAAAAGTAGATATAATATCACAAATTAGATGTAAATGGTTTCTTAAAGCAGCAGTTCTCAGAAGCTCTGGTTTTAAGACACTTTACATTATTTAAATCTACTGAGGACCTCAAAGAGCATTTGTTTATGTGAGTTATGTATTTCAATATCTACCACAGTACAAATTTTGACTAAGACATTTAAAATTATTTATTGTTCACTTCTTTTAAAATGATAATAGGGGCACCTGGATGGCTCGGTTGGTTGAACATCAGACTTTAGACTTCGGCTCAGGTCATAATCTCATGGCTCTCGTGGGTTCAAGCCCCATGTCAGGCTTTGCGGTGACAGCATGGAGCCTACTTTGGGTTCTCTGTCTCCCTCTCTCTCTACCCCTCCCCCACTTCCCCACTTGTGTTCTACAAACATTAAAAAAAAATTAATAACAATAAACCCACTATACTGTAACAAATATTTTCATGAAAATAGTATTTTTAAAAGCAAAAAAACCTGGCAAGAAGACTGTCAGTCTTTTAATATCCTTATTAATTTTATCATTTATGTCATTTCTGGGTCTATTTCTACTGGTTGATGCTTTCCTCATTATAGGATGTATTTTCCTACTTCTTTACATGTCAGACATCTAGAAAAAGGCAGTTTCATTGAAAAGAAAAAGCAAGATAATTGTATTCTTGCATTTGTGAGCATGTTTCATTAATTCAACTACCACTTTTTAATGGTTTATAATGAAATGATTTCATCTTATAACTCAAAATTTTATATTAACTTTAGTCTTTAACTAACATAACTATAACAATACAAAAATAGAAATCTGTATGTCTAAGTAATATAACCTTACAGCAATACAGTAACTATTTTATGTTCATTTCTTATCTCAGTGTGAGTCTAAAAAATGAACTCGGACCTTTTACTGATACAGAAATAAAGCTAAGGGTAATGAGAAATTTTCCCACACCATAAAAAGGAAAACTGTATTTTAGTTTCATTTCTTTTTTTCACTTGTAATGTTCCTATATCAAAGAAAAAGGTTTTAAAGCCAACAATAACAATAACAGTGACAATTTTAAATGAATGTTCCTATTTTAAATGAAACACAATGGTTATTTTGATTGAATAGAAATGTAATCTTTCTTTTTTCTTTAATGTCTATAGCTATTGTGTTATCAGTTGATTGTATAATTAGCCTTAATACAAATGTATCATTGGTTCACTTTTCCATGAGAATGTTGTTATTGAAAGGAAAGAATCAAATTTTTTAAACTTACTGTTTTAGTGCCATGCTTTAGAGTTATTTCATGAGAGTCAGGAATCTTTTGGACAGGATTCTGAAAAAAGAAAATTCCATGACATCAATGAGTAACCAATGTATTTAGGGCCTGAGGGGGAATTACATATTCACAGGAGACATAATTTTTAAAAATTTTATCACTAGCTTTTTAACACAAAGCTTTAAAAAAAAACAATAAAAATTGTGAAAGTAGCTTATTTCTGCACTTCTAGATAAATTACAATTGTTGAGCTGATAATAAATTTATCTTAAATCTCAAAAATGATAAACCTAAGAAACTTTTTAGGTTGTATGAAACAATAAGGTTCTCTCAGCATCCAAAATATTTAAAGTTCTCTCTTCACTGAAAATTGACCACAATTTAAAGTGCTTATGTACTTAATTTAAAATAGGCAACAAAATCCGCACAGGGTAGATATATACCTTTCAACCCATGAAAGTTTAGAAAACAAAAAACTGCTGCTCAAAAATGACACAAATAAGGAACTGAGTCATTTATTGACTCATCAATTCAATAAGCATTTATTTAAAGTGAGATTATACCAGATGGGTAGCATTAAACATAGCCTCTACATTTTTCCCTCCCAAGAAGCATATGGTCTAGGAATAAATCAGTCTAATTCAATATAAGAAATGTTATGATAGACAGGGGTTATGGGCAGGATAATGGAGGAAGAGAGAAGATGGGTGCATAAATCAGACATAAGGAGTCACAGTTATCATTTGAATAAGAAGTTGCATTGTTTAGTCAAGGTTCCATTATCCAAGAGCAGGGTAATCATACTCAAATTTTAGGGCCATTACAAATTCACATAAGGATCATCTTGCAATCTACTTAACTAAATATGTGCAGTCTAATACACTTTGGTCCCTGTCTCCTCTCATTCTTTAGCATCCTTGATGAATCAATCAATCTCAAGTTCTATTTCATCATAAACTTTTCCCCTCTTATGGCTCTTTATCCTCAGCACATAAACAATTAAAGTACTTCCCATATTACACACACACACACACACACACACACACACATACAGCAATTTCCCCCACATTTACTGCTGTATCATTATCTTTTCCTTTGCAATCAAGCTTCTTTACATGAACAGTTTTCACTCAATTGTCTCTACTTCCTCTCTCCTTTCTACCTCTACCACTCTGGCACGTGTCCTTTTATCCCTAATGCCTAGCACAGTTCTTGGCACTTAAGAGACTCTCAGTAAATATCTCTTGAATAAACAAACAAGTCACTATAAATGCCCCTGGACACTTTTCAGAACTTAATCTGCATAAATGACCTTTCAACAGCATAACTACTTAACTATTTCCTCCATCCTGAAACTGTTCTCTCCTGGGAGGAAGCAGCTTAGACAAGAAGCCAGAAAAGCTAAGGTTTTTATTTGCATGTTTATATAAGGTCAAACATTTAAAAATATATATATATATATTTAAATATATATATATAGTTATATATATTTTTTTAAGTAAGTTATACGTCTAACATGGGTCTTGAACTCATAATCCCAAGACCAAGAGTCACATGCTTTACTGACAGAGCCAGCCAGGTGCCCCAAGAAAAGCTGGGTTTTTTAATCTATCCCTGCCACTCCTTAACCTTGTCATAATTCCAGGATAGTTATGACTCTATTCCTTCATTTGTAAACTGAGAATAACAGCACTTGCCCTTTAGGTTACTGGTAAGTGGTTTAAAGCCTTATAATGCAGCGCTGGGCACAAAGTAGGTACTCAATAAATGACAACCACCACTTATCCTAAGGCTTACCTCCTATCTCTCTGGTCATATCAACTTAATCTATTTCCAGGTTTCTCTTCCTACTCATCCTTTAAGACTCAATTCAGATGTGTCCTGCTACTGTAAGCATTTCTCAACAGTTCAAACTCTGGGTTAAATGGCCCTTCTAATGCACTCTCATGTCTCAGATAAGGAGATAATCTCTCCTTACCTCTATCACAGAATATATCAAAATCCATTGTAATTTTTAAAAACTTTTTAAGTAGGCTCTACAGCCAATGTGAGGCTTGAACTCACAACCTTGGGATCAAGAGTTAGATGGTCTACCAATTGAGCCAGACAGCCACCCCAAAATCCATTATAATTTTTTACCTGTTTCGCTCCCAACCACTCCCTAACCAAATTGCAAAATGGACATTTCTCAAAGACTGCATACATCTATTATCATCTCTGGGTCCTCAATCCACAAAACAGATGGTGGATAGCAGACATACACAAAAGTGTTTTGGAATTAATTAATAGCCTAATATCTACCTTGTAGATCACATTAGATTGTAATTTTTACTTTACCTTCAAACATTAATGTTTATGTCCATAAAGAAGAGCAGGTGCTATCCACCAGATCAGCCAGGTAAGTGACAGTCAGGGATAACTGACGTTTGCAAAAAGTAAAAACTGGGGTGCCTGGGTGGCTCAGTCGGTTAATCATCCAACTCTTAGTTTTGGCTCAAGTAATGGCCTCACGGTCCATAGTTTGCACCCCACACTGGGCTCTGCACTGACAGCACAGAGTCTACTTGGGATTCTCTCTCTCTCCTCTCTCTTTCTTCTCCACCCAATTTGCTCTCTCTCTCAAAATAAATAAACTCAAAAACAAAAAATGACTTGACAACCAAATGATTATATCCCAGACTAAAAAACAGATCAAAAGTTACAAGTTTAGGGGTGCCTGGCTGGCTCAGTGGGTAGAACATGTGACCCTTGATCATGAGTTCGAGTGTAGAGTATACAGTGTATAGTGTTCGGTGTGGAGATAATTTTTAAAATTTTTTTCAAAATAAGTTGCAGGTATAGAGAAATAAAGGCAATTTTGTTTTAGACTGTCTGCATCTGAGAGATTACTATAATCTGTTACCACCATGGAGCATTTAAGAAGATTAGGAAACGAGAAGGCACTGAACAAGAACCTTAACCTCCACAGTAACCTAAAGAAGTGTTGAAGAGTTTACAATTTATTTCAAGACCAGATGTTACAGTATGGCTTACTATGCTTTGGAAAGTGCTGCACATACCTTGATTTCAGAGATACAAATATTCCAACACAAATTCCAAAATAATTTGAAAGTCAAACAAATGAATTCTGGACTATCCCTATATTAAATTATGTAAACCACTGCTCCCTTTGCAGTTGACAACATGCATAAGCAATAAAAACTCATGTATTAAATACTAAGTACTCTTGCAGAAAACAGAAGAACAGTTCGAATGTTCCACTTGGAGAAGATTCTATTATAGTCAGTGTCTCATTTCATAACTAATTACTTTTTCATTACTCAGGAAACAGAAACACTGTCACCAAAAGGAGGGATGAAAATTATTTCATTGAATTCAATGTACAATATGCCTATATATAGACAATTTCTGACATTTCAAGTAAAACTTACAAGAACACAGAACAATTTAATATTTACATCAGCAGTGAATTAAATGTTTAAATAAATGTTGTTTACATTTAAAATCAAAGTTTTATTGGAAATCATGTAGAGCATAACTCATAAAAGGCCCATATAACTGGCACAACTAAATCATCTAAAATAGGAGCAATCCATCTTTTGGTAGCGTATCACTTGACGGTGACTGTTCTTTTTCCAGAACTTCTACTAATGGCTTTTTGAAATATGGCTTAGTGTGAAATTTGCTACAACAGTAAAATATTTTCATGATTTTCATGCCAGGGGACATCATAAGCTACAAGACTTCAATGAAGTTATTTATTATAAGAATTCATAACAAGAGCTAGTTTTAATGGAAGAGGGGAAAAGATACCAGCTTTTGTTTTGGTTTGGTTTGAAATGCCAAGCAAAGGATTATTTCCCAGGCTCTCTAGTTTGCCCTCAATAACAACGACAGCAAATATATCTGGAATAACATGAGCAATTCCATCTGACACACATCCTTAAAGTATTTTCAAAAGACTTGCAAAATAAAAATAACCTTTCTAGGGTAAAGTTGTCATAAGTTTAAAAAGTTATATATGTATTGTACTATAAGCCATAATCAAATGTCTACCCAGTAACAAAGACCTACCGCAAAGTGGCTATGAATTGTGGGGAGAGACTGGGGACTGCCAACCAGGAACTTAAAAAGGAGTGCCATGTTCTCCCAGAAAGCATTTTGTAGATAGGTGCCAGTGTGGTATCACAGAAAACCAAAATTAGAGTCTATTCTAGTATAACTCTGGAGATCTAACAGAGTGACTTAACAATAATTACTCATCATCACACATTCACTTAGCAAACATTTGAGTAATTAATTACATACCATATACTAGGGACTACAGTTAAAAGTTTTAAAAATAACAATAATAACAAAGACTCAGCTCACAAGGACTGTCAGTGTAATGAAGCAAAACTGACATGTAAACAAACAGGCAACACTAAAATGTTTCAGATGCTATGACAGAACACAGTCAGTGCCTGGGAAATAAGACGGTGATTAGAAAAGACTTTATAGAAGAGATGCTTGAGATGCCTTTGGGAAAATAAATAGAGGTTCCCCAGGTGAATGTGGAGGGCATCCAGAAGAGAATAGGAGATATCCTGACAGTTACTGAACTGCAAATATTTTTGCCTGGACAGAGTTTACATGCTGGGCAGGAAAGGGGGTAAGGCTGTGTGTGTTGTATGTATATACATATAAAAAAATTATTTTTCATACCAAGAGAGTTAGGAGTTAGATTGTTTACAATGCCTAGAATCTGAAATTTAAGCTCTGAGCCATGTAATTTGATAAAATTTGAGTTTTCTAAAAATCACCAAGTTATTTTGTTCTGTGCATCAAAAGACACAATCAAGGGGCATCTGGATGGTTCAGTCAGTTGAGTGCCCAACTCTTGATTTCAGGTCGTGATCTCATGGTTTGTGAGATCAGGCCCTGCATCGGGCTCTGCATTGGCAGTGCAGGGCCTGCTTGGGATTCCCTCTCGCCCTCTACCCTTCCTCCACTTGCATGAACTCTCTCTCTCAAAATAAATAAATAAACATTTTTAAAAAAATGTTTAAGATACAGTC